AGGCCTTGGTCTGGCGCACTGGCCGAGTTGCGTATTCCAGCCCAGTACCTGTGACCCTTGCAGCAGCACGAACGCCCTTGACGGGCATAGTGTCCCATGTCCACGCCGCACCATGACCAACAGCTGATGCCGTCGCCTTCAATGCCTCCGTAGTCTTTGTCTTGGCAGCCTCGGAGATCTGGCCAGCCTTTTGTACGTTTGGGTTCTGCTGGAAGTCGTGCAGCGCACCACCCAACTGCTTTGTACCCTCGTTCCAGTCCTTGGAGGCCTGGAACTCTTGCTTCAAGGTCTCGGTGAAGACCTGCCATGGTGTCTTGTCGCCGTGGGGTGGAGGTGGGGGCGCATCCTTCTGGTCTTTCTTCTGGCCCTCTTCACCCTCCTTCTGTTCGCCAGCTTCCTCCTCTCCTTCCTTCTTCTCCTTGGCTTCCTCGCCCTCTTTCTTTGCCTGGTCGCCTGCAGCCTGCTCTGAGGTGCTACCCTCGGAGGCCGTTGATTTGGTGGGGTCAGGCTCTTGGTCCTTTACGTCTTTTTGCTTTTGCGCTTGCTCGTATAGGGCGGGCCGAGAAGAGAAGTGGCGGGCGTATGCGGATGACGTGCGAAAGAGGACATCTTGGGGCAAGAATTCGCTGCGGAGGAAGCGTTGGGAGGAGGGTGTAGATGTGGACGGTAGTGATGTGTGTGTGGAGGAGACTTGCGATGTTCTTGGGAGTGTTGATATCCGTCTATACGCTGCAGCTCTTCCGTATGCGCTTGCAGGCGTAGCAGCGGCGGGTTGTATGCTCCATCGCGCAGTGGCGGCAAATGTGCTTGCTGTTTGGGGCCTCATGCTCTGGACTTGAACGCAATTGGATCTGGGTATTAAATTGAAGTAGAACCGGCCCAAGCAGTGAGCGTTGGAAGGTGGGCGCGGCGAAGGTGGGTGAGAAGCATCGCCATCTTTTTCCGAATGCCAAGCCAGACTCGCAACCTTCTGCGACTTTCTAGCAAATCGCTGCATCCCCGAACCTCAATCGGGGCATCTACCGCCTTCAACATGGCCAGCAACACAACTCTACAGACGTTTCGATCCCTCACATGCTCAATTCGCTCATCATGTCGACACACGCAACCCCTGCGACCGTTTTCGCACAGCACACGAGTCCTCGCTGCAACTCCTCCCTCCTTCCGCAAGAGGCCTGAGAAGAGTCTCGACCAGCTGCTCAGCAATGTAGATGAGAACTTCAGTGGCGCAGCCCCCAATCCATACAATTTTATACCCGGCCAAAACCCAAACGACGCTTCTTTCAAGAACCTCGCGCCGCGCGAATGGGACGAAGACGACAAACACAAACTCCACGTTTACGCCACCAAGCACAACACACACCTGTGTCTGACACAACCAAACCGAAACCCACTGATCTCAGTATCTTGCGGAAACATCGGCTTCAGAAAAGCGGGGCGCGGAACATACGATGCAGCCTATCAATTGGCCGCCTTCCTCATGAACCGAATCCAGGACAAGGGCCTGCTGCCGCAGATTCAGAAGTTGGAGTTGATATACAGAGGGTTTGGCGCAGGCAGAGAGGCAGTCACAAAGGCGATACTGGGTGCTGAGGGAAAGAGGATACGGCCGCTGATTGTGAAGCTGGCCGACTCGACGAGGTTGAAGTTTGGTGGTACAAGGAGCAAGAAGCCGAGGAGATTGGGTTAGAGACTGCTTGTTAAGCACGTAGGAGCGAAAAGCAGACGAAGTGTACGATGATAGTGGGGTTCACCGGCGTCATGGGTAGCGGCCTTCAGCACTCAGAGGCATGTATCACAAGAGCAGTGTATGGTGGCCAGGGCATATCAGACCAATTCAAGAGTCAAGTCAGATTTTTCGGCAGTGGTGCCCTTTCAGCGGGTGGAATAGTCCGACCACTAGAATCCGTTTCCGCGATGTTGACAAGCCTGGGTGCAAGATTTCCAGCCTCATACCTAATAGGCCCTCTTGCGCTTCCTTGATCACTACGACTACTTCCAGCAGAATAGCCCGCGTTTTCCCAGCCCCTTGCTTCCTCAGTTGTCCGATGGCGTTCTCGTTCTCGATCATGACGTAGCATCGACGCTCCTTCGTCTTCGAATTCTTCGTCAAGCAACTCTCCATCAGCAGTATCATAATCCGGTGGCGCTATCCATTCCCGTGGTACAACGCATGGTAGAGCGACGCCGATGCTAGCGGCACGATTCAGATAGCTTGGAGCTGGGCGACCCGTGAGCCTCTCGCAGAGGTAGGACGTGAAGTGGTTGCAGTTCTTCGTGAGGAGGTTGTACGATGTTCCTTGGAACTCGTGTGAGGCCTGTAACATGTTAGCTAGTTTCCCGAATACCAACGTCCTGGCATACCTCTTGTATGATAGCCTCTAGTTCTTCCTCAGGTCGGAAAGAGAAGCCATGTAGAATCGCCTGCTTGAACGTGCCGCCCGGGGGTTCTTGCCCAGGCTTCGTCCAGTACACGCCTGTCAGGTCCCGCCGGTCATGTCCGCCATATGCATATTCCCTGTCGCCAATAACAACACCTGTGTGAAGGAGCGAGCTGCCGATTGCCCACAGTACGGTTGCGACCTTGCCGGGCGGTAACAGGTCATAGACGTGTATAGAGACCTCGGTTCTCTGCAGCGACAGCGTGGTCCTATGTTGGCTGGAACTTTTGCGCGACGGTTTTGGACGGGTAGAGGATGACATTGTCTATGGTTGGAGTGATGTATGTACAATCGAGTGTGGTATGTATTGGGGTAGGTCTCTACGTCGGTACCGAATAAGAAGGGTGGGGTATCATAGACGCTGTGAAGGGACGATGTGTGGTGCGAGGTAGTGGTACAATGACGGAGGGCGGAGGTCAGTGAATGGGGCCAGCCCTGGGAGTAATATGCGGAGGGACAGGTGTGGGGGAGCAGATGGAGATGGAGGTCGTTGTAGCCATGACCGCCGGTTTGGCGCTCGAGCACAGCTGGAGACGCGGCTTCGGCGCTTGCTGCTTCGAGCAAGCGCTGCACGGACGCCGCCCTAGCCACATAAACTTAAGAAAATTCGATTGGACTCGCTGCACCGTCAATTAACCCAGGAAACGCAGGAGAGCGGCTGCTAGGTAGCTCTCCCACCCCTCTATTTCATCACGCCCCCCACCAGGCCTCTTACCTTTTCTTTCTCTTCTCTGATACCCACTTTTTACAACCCGGCAGCAAGCACTGCCTGCTTTTTCCCAGCCTCTTTGCACTCTTCATCTTCCCCCACCAAATTTTTCCTTTCCTTCACTGCAGCTCGCACCTACGCGTCCGCGCCCAAGAAGAAAAAGATGCCTCCCAAGAAGCAAGTCAAGGAGGAGAAGCTCCCGCTCGGCAGGCCGGGAAACAACTTGAAGACTGGTATCGTGAGTGAGAGCCCTCCCTAGCTGGTCTTGTCGCGTTCTCACATTAACAGTGATTGCCAGGTTGGCCTAGCGAACGTCGGCAAGTCGACGCTCTTCCAAGCCATCACCAAGTGCTCTCTTGGTAACCCCGCCAACTTCCCATATGCCACCATCGACCCAGAAGAGTCGCGCGTCATCGTCCCAGATGAGCGCTTCGACTGGCTAGTGGAGCACTACAAGCCCAAGTCGGTCGTACCTGCCCACCTGACCATCTACGATATTGCTGGTCTCACGCGCGGTGCTTCCACTGGTGCTGGTCTCGGTAACGCCTTCTTGTCGCACATCCGCGCCGTCGATGCCATCTTCCAAGTCGTCCGATGCTTCGACGATGCCGAGATTATCCACGTTGAGGGTGACGTCGACCCCATTCGTGACTTGGACATCATCGCCGAGGAGCTGCGCCTGAAGGACATTGAGTTCACCGAGAAGGCACACGCTGCGCTTGTCAAGGAGACAAGGAGAGGCGGTCAAAGTCTGGAGATGAAGAAGCTCAAGGAGGAGCAAGCCACAGTTGAGAAGGTCCTCGAGATGCTCAAGGACGGCAAGGATGTCCGGAAGGGCAACTGGTCGCCCAAAGAGGTATGTACATCTCACTTCCTTTCCCTGCACACCCTGTTACAAGATGACAAAGAGCGATTGCTCTATAATCCCAGCTCTCTGATGGCCCATTAACGCTGGGCTATTCTGAAGTGAAGTCCTTCTCTGATTAACAACACCCCAACCTCGTTACCTACATGGAATACCTGTCGCAAGCTCGTACTAACAGTTTGCTAGGTCGAGCACATCAACCCTCTCTTCCTCCTCTCCGCCAAGCCCGTCGTCACTCTTGTCAACCTGAGCGAGAAGGACTACATCCGCCAGAAGAACAAGCATCTCCCCAAGATCGCCGAATGGGTCAAGACCAACGCCCCCGGTGACCCAATCATTCCTATCTCCGTACAGCTCGAGGAGCGCATCGCCGTCATGTCTGACGAGGAGGCCGCCGAAGAGCTCAAGAACCTCGGTACCAAGTCGGCGCTGCCCAAGGCCATCCAGGTCATGCGCAAGGCCCTTCAACTTGGTAGCTTCTTCACAACCGGTACCGACGAAGTCCGACAATGGACAATAAGGACTGGCACCAAGGCGCCACAAGCTGCTGGTGTCATTCACGGTGACTTCGAGAAGACCTTCATTCAGGCAATCGTATACAACTACGCGACATTGAGGGAAGAGGGTGACGAAGCCACTTGCAAGGCAAAGGGCAAGATCATGACCAAGGGCAAGGACTACGTTGTCGAGGATGGTGATATCCTCCTCATCAAGGCTGGTGCCGCGAAGGCATAGACGGCTTGATGAGTCTTGGTTATGTGTGTATGTGTTTATGATCTACATGCGCGTCTTACGATGAGCTATATGAAAAGCAGCTAGACTGCCCTGAATGAATGAGAATAAACATGACCACGAACAAACCATATAATTCCCACATTATGCTGTGATGAACGACTTTTACTGAACATTGACGCATAACGCAAAGCTGCAAGTCTGTTCAACACAAGTCCTCACCCGACCTCTCTACACCTCTCTGCCAGTCTACCTACTTCGCCTTTCCCTTCGTCTCAACAAGCATCCAGCTATTCCCACAGACACAGTGCTTACTCAAGCCCAACAAGTACTGAGAGTGCGCAGGAGTATACCCTGGCAACCCCGGCACAACATCCTCCATACAAGCACCACACCTCGTACACTGCTTGAGCAAATTCTTCTTCCTCCTGCCCTCTCCGTTCGCCCCCGCACTCTGAATACTATCACTCCTGCTGCGATTCCCGCCACCCGTCGCCGACCCCACAGGATGCGTCCACGTGCCCGTGCCCCGAATAATCATCTTTTGACACACATCCACCACATGCGTGTCGTGCCAATACCTTGCGCGCTTTGAGTCCGTGAACCCTAACCACGTGGTATCGAAGAACATGAGTCTACCCATATCGAGCTTATCCGCGAGGCAAACTTGCTGCGTCGTGCTTTTCCAGAGGTAATCCGTCACAAGGCGTTTAGCGACAGGGAAGAGGATGTCTGGGATTTTTCCGAGGAGCAGTTCCCGCTCGATGCTGTTGCGTTGCATGTCGGTTAAGTTACGCTGCTTGTATGTGCCGCGGACGTAACTCTGCGTCTCGCTGAGCAGCTGTTCGTAGTAGCGGTAATCGAACGGGATATCAGTTATAGCAGCATAAAGAGGGGCGTAGAGTTTCTTCGCTTCAGGTGTCTGCGGCGGCGCATTAGGGTTCCCGGCTGCGGCGTTGGGCAGCGTAACGTAGGCTGCTGCGCTGCGCGAGAGCCACGCAATAGGTTGGAACCAGAGTTTCATCATGGCGCGGGGGAAGGCGGACAGGATGAGGAGGAGCGCGGGTTTGTTGAGCTCACGGATTTTGGCCTCAAGGACGGGACGCGTGAGGTCTGCTGGGGGTATGTCGGATAGGGCGCGGCCGAGGGCGAAGAGATCATCTAGGATGTAGGCCATGAAGTGCATTGTCCATCTGCAGGTTCCGATCATTTGGGGGACGGCTTCGGGTCGGAGGTTGCTCTTCGATGGGTCGCCGTGGAGGCGGACGATGGTGGTCAGGGTTTGCGTGACAAATCTGATGTTGATTAATTGCCAGGCCATTTTGCTGCTTAGAGAACGGTCGATGTTGCCTTGGAGGCCGAGGATGTTCATGGCCGAGAGCGTCTTTACGAAGAAGGGGCTGCGGCCGAGGAGAAGGAAGTGATTGCTTGATGTGTCGTCTACGCCACAGTCAATGTTGACTTGGAGTCCTTCGAAGAGGAGATTGATGAAATCGTGCTTGCGCTTGTCGCTGAGGGAGCTGACCAGAGCGAAGATGTCGTCGCTGGAATAGTATTGGTTTGCTGCAGACGAAGACTGTAGGATGAGTGCTGCGAGAGCGGCGGCATGGCGGGGATCATCATCGTCTGATGATAGGGTGCCGTGGGAGTACTCCATAGATCGCAGCTTTGGGCTACCATCCAGCTGCATACATACCGCCAAGCAGTGATTGGGTGATAGGGCGACGTGTAGCGAGGGTTCGGCGTGCTGGAAGACGAAGCCAGCTTGTAATAGCGAGTTCACAGTGTCGGTATTGCCATCTGGCATGACTATCTCCATGGTCGATCGCTTCCTGAACTCGATAGCCCCATCGCTGTACGTGAATGCCAGAAGCATGCTGTACCATATCGGGTAGAACCCTAACACGACAGCATGCAACGAGAAGTCAGGCTGTCTCTTTAGAAGGAACGTGTTTTGTGCAGATACCGAGCTTACGCTCTTCTTCTTTGATGTCACCTGATCGAGGCTGGAATGGAGCTGGCTGTGTTGCTCTTGATGCACCTGCCATTTGACGATGATGCTGTACCGTGTCTCTTGCGGGTTCAGATCATACGAGATCGGATTTGGTGGCTTGCAGAATATGGCTTGAATGGTGGGCATCGAGCCGTCATCTTGCTCGGGTGTAACAGGAAGGAAGTTGAGATGTGTTAGTTGAGCGGCAGCCGCACTTCTTGATGCTGTGCCGTCGCCCAGGTCGTCATTCGCAAGCTCAACGGGGTTGCAATCATCTTCCAAAGCGATCAATGAGACTTGGATGGTTGGCTTCTCGAATGGACCGGCGTTCTGGCTACGCTTGTCGGTTGGTACATTCCAGATTGTCTCAATGCGATATAAATGCAACCGCCTCTTGACATCGTAGGCAGCCAGTAGGAGGGTGTTATCTAGAAGATGTTAGTTTAATAGCATCAAAGCGTACAGAAGACCGTACCATTGTTCGACGTAAAGGCTGCGTGTGTGAAGGACTCCTTCGTTGAGATCATAGGCCCTAATTGAGCGGAGACTTCTTGCCAACTGTTGTCAATCTGCTGGAAGCGAAGCTTGAGCTCGCCATGTCTTTTCAGATATATGAAGCATGCTTTGCCTTCTACAGGATGGTGCGCATTGTTGAACATGTGCTGTTTGATATTCCACTTCCATTTGCCTTTTTCTTGCGAAGCTGACCAAGCAATGAGATTCTAGATGAACATTAGAAACAGGCTTACAAACATCCAAAAGACCTTACCTTTTGTGCGTAGGGTAGGATCGCAAGCCAATGCATGCCTACCACACCATCTACTTCGGACTCTGGATGAGCTACTTCGGCTCTGGTGAAGTGCATGCGGTCCAAGGCCATGGCGCATGAGAAGACCATCACTCGACCCGCTTCGTCCATAACAGCTAGATCGTTACCCAGGTGACTCCATGAGAGATGGGTCAAACGAAAGATCTCGCGGCCCTGTGGGAATTCGAGAGGGACGTTCCTTCCGAGATCCCATTTGCCAGATTCAGGATCTCGTGAAAAAATCTTCAGGTGGACAGAGTAGCCGTCTGGACTTATGTACGCAACACAGCCATTCTTGGACCATGATATCTTTCTATTACCGGTTAGTGGAGCTGGCAGACTTACCAAAGACTCACTCACTGGCAACAGCCGCTAGACGCTAGCTCATCGATGCGCCCGTCGAGCCCTTTCACTGGCGGTGTCGTGTTGATAGACTGGATGTTGACATGCTCTGAGTCTCCAAAGAGATCATCCACATCCATGTTATAACTTGCGCCGTCCATTGTGGTGAGATAGCTGCGCTCGGCGGCAGGTCGGCTGAGAGGTGAGATCAGGCGAGAAAACAAGAGGTGGGAAACAACCCCGCCAAGAAAGTCGCACTAGACAAACACGAACAGATGACGAGCGAATCGTCGGGTATCACAGAGAATACAAGAAAATGAGGCACGAAATTCAAGACAGAGACGGACGTGGAGAAGGTCGAGGGTTGATGAGGCTGCGCCCCGGTTGTCTGGGATCAGTTGCGGCAGTAAGCGATGCAGCTAACGATGACTAGCGCGGTTCCATCTGGTGTGCTGTTCGTGAGAGCTTCGCGCACAATCGTCATCCCGGGCAGTCATCCTTCCCAGAATGCTGATGAAGGTTGTCGCAAGAGCTCAGAATATAGTGCAATAAGCTCAGGATGCTTATGCGACTCCGGGATTGCGACGGTCAAATAAGCGCAATGCGCCGATCTCTATGAACCTGGGAGGGGTTGCATGCGCCGTGGCTGTCACGAAGAACATGGCATCGTGCCGTCCAGTTGGAAGCATGACGAGCGAAGACTTGCTTCAGAGCTCGCAGTCGTACCCTATGTACACGGCTTAACATGCTTCTTCCACGCCTACTACTTTAATGATGCTGTCGTTCAGATAGCCATGTTCGGCCCAGCACAGACATGCCGCAAACGTAAACAGGTCGAGTGTTTAGGTTCTGTTCTTGGCAGACCTACCCGGCGCCCATGGTTGTCCAGGTCAACCAGCGCTCGCCCGTCATCGCATCCACCGCCAACCTCTGCACCCTTCCCACCCCCCTTCACCACCGCCCACAAACGCGTCTATTCCGGACGCGCACCTGCCTGCCCTATTGTTCACGCGCCTTCACGAAGCGTCACAATGATCTAGCGTACCTTCCCGATCTGACGGTTCTCGAAGGGGACCAAAACGGCAGCAGCGGCAGCACGGCAGCGACGACCGACAGCCCCCAACCTACACCCTCCACACAATCACGATCTCCACACGTCCTCCGTACGCGGCATATCTCGAACAAATACTGAGAAATTAATGCGAAATTCCAGCGTATTAGTCAAGCTACAAAGAACATCGTGGTACTAGACGCGCCGGGTCCCTGAAAGCCGTCAGGCGCCTTGCGTTCGACATTGAACCTCCCTCGCGACACACGGCTGTCACTGCCTGTTGCTGTCCACCCCACAATCCCCACGGCGCTCCTTCACCATGGCTTACAACGCGCTAAACAACGAGCCCAGCTCGCCCTTGACCGAGATTTCGGATTCAGATCTCTCTATTCTTTCCCGGTCGCCCACTCCACCAGCTGAGCTTAACAAATCCTTCGCTCAACGTCGCGCATACATGTCCCCATCCTCCTCGCGACGCTCCTCCGCCAAGACATCACCCGCGCCCGAAGACATGCCTTCTCCCCCGTCCAGCAACGACGACAACCCGCGTCCAGTAAAGAGGAGGAAGACAGCAGAGCCCAAGGAGCGCACGGCAGAATACCTTGACCTCTCCAGGTCCGACGTCGAACAAGACGAGCTACCACAGCTGCAGCGCTTGCTGAGCGTTTTGCACAAGAAGCGCAAGATTGTGGTTATTGCAGGTGCAGGCATTTCGGTTTCGGCTGGCATTCCCGACTTCCGATCAGCTACTGGCCTCTTCAACACGCTCAAGAAGGAGCACAAGCTCAAGTCCTCCGGCAAGGACCTGTTCGACGCGTCTGTTTACCAGGATGACACGTCCACGTCGACATTCCACGACATGGTGCGCACGCTGTCCCAGCACACGAAATCTGCGCAGCCCACCGCCTTCCACCATCTCCTCGCGACCCTAGCCCAAGAAGGGCGCCTCATGCGGCTATACACCCAGAACGTCGACGGCATAGACACTTCATTACCCCCTCTAAGCACAACGGTGCCTCTGCCGAAGAAAGGACCTTGGCCCAAGACTGTCCAAGTGCATGGTGGTCTGGATTACATGGTGTGCTCCAAGTGTCAGAAGGTGGAGCCTTTCGACGCCGAGCAGTTCAACGGGCCTAGCCCACCACCCTGCCCAAGCTGTGTGGAGAACGACGAGATCCGCCAAGTCGCAGACAAGCGCAGCCACGGCATCGGCCGCCTGCGTCCCCGTATGGTCCTCTACAACGAACATAATCCTGATGATGAGTCGATCGGTTCTTGTGCATCCTATGACATGCGCATGAGACCAGACGCTGTTATCGTGGCTGGCACCACGTTGAAGGTCCCCGGTGTGCGGCGCATCGCCCGCGAGATGTGCAACATCGTTCGCGACCGGAAGGATGGAGTCACGGTCTGGCTGAACAACGACCCGGAGCCGATGGGTAAAGATCTCGAGGACAAGTGGGATCTAGTAGTCAAAGGTCCTTGCGATGAAGTCGCGCGCCATGCCAACATGCGACGATGGGACGACCCCATGGACTATAAGACAGTCACAGAAGAGGATCTCAACAAAGTCAGGGAGAAGCAAAGAGCAGAGGTCATCATCGGAACTCCTCGAAAACCTGGTGTCCTACGCAATGCAGGCCAGCTCACACCTGGACAAAGCCCTCGCATACTGCCACTATCTTTTAACAAAGCGGAACCAGACACACCGTCTAAGAAAGGCACGAAGAGGAAGGCAGACGCCAAGGCAGACGGGCAGATGGATCTGTTCGGCAAGCCCGCAACCAAAGCACCCGCAAAGAAGCCGAAAGCACAACCAAAGAAGGCAACAGCAACAAGCAAGAGCAAGGCGGGCAAGAAGGAGCCGAAGAAAGAGGCTCCCGCTATCAACAACGTCTTCAAGGCTACCAAGGGCGGCACCAAAGCCACAGGCAAGCCTCTGGCCAAAGCATCTGATCCGGCCCTTACCATTATCGAGTCAAAGTTCAACGAGCAGACTCGGCTCAATCCAAAGGAGAATGCCAGCGACACGATTCACATTGAGAAGCGACGGACCCCATCGACCCCCAGGAAGCCAGCAAGACTGACCAAAATAAAGTCAGACTTTGTGTTCCAGCCTGTTTCGAGTGCAGATAGCCGCAACAACCACTCACCGAAACGGCCACCAATTGAAAGCTTCACACCCACAAAGGACCGTACACCCAGTGCTCAGATTCAGGAGGAGATGGCATACGCGCATGCGACGTCGTCTACGAGCGGTTCTCGTCCTTCATCCTCGGGCAGCGCACAGCGGCACATCATTGAAAGCCCAACCGGGCCGGTACCCAAAAACATGAATCACCTTCTCTGCTAGCGAACTGCATTTCTCGGCGTTGGCGGGCTTTCTTTTCCAGACAGACGCCGTATCTATGTGCGCGGTGCATTGCATGAGAGGCGTTTGCGGTTTTACAAATGTACAGTTGAGGTGTCAGTTGTACCAGTACTTTTCTCATTGTTGGACATGCATATCTTACCTTTTGGCTGCATGATACCCAGATGAACTCCTGGTAGAGGCAGATCGGACGCTTTGGCGTCCTTATTCAGCGTAGTGTAGTGGTTCCGATGATAGTTGAAGGCTTAGGCCTCTGTTGATATTCGTGACAAATGCGAGATATTTACTATTATCTGGTGTTGAGACAATCTATTGATGTTTGCGATAACAGGAACTTGAACGAACTAGCAGTGTATAGGTGCACCTTTCTCCCTTATACCTGCAAATGAACCTCTGTGCCCTAGAATTGCGCCTCCCTTGCGCGCCTTCTGAAGACTGGCGCCTTGGCGCTTGATTCGGCCTGTGCACGTTGGCTGACGACCATTTCTCAACCTTTCATTGTTCAAGCATCTGCACCCTGGCGAGACAAAGGTTTACCCTTTGTTCGAGACGGCATCGTTCCGCAGTCACCAGTCCTGCAACAAACCCAGTCGATTGGAATAGCTTCGGTCGGCACCTCAAGCTTGTCAACATCTCTACGCGCTGACGTGTCTTGAGAGATCTCGAATCCTACCCTTGCAGGACATTGCAGTAACAAAGAGCTGGAACTATCGGTCATGGCTTCACCACTAACCGTACGAAATTTGACGCCTACCACCCTCTCCATCCAGCGTGTCGAGCGATTTGAGGACCCAAATACGCTCCAGTCCAAAGCAAGCGGGTACTTTCTCGGTGCTCAAAGCACCCCATCCGCGGCACCCACTTCACCTGAACTCAGCAGCCATGCACAAAGCTTCAACGATCAAGATCTTGAAACTGTCTTGCAGCCGTTCGAGTCGTATACTATAACATTTGCAAACTCGAAGCAGTCCAACGCATCTACCCTATCGAATCCAACCCTCCGTCTCACCATCCAGACATCCAATGGTGAACGCCATCGCATTGATACGCATCCGTCATATACTCAAAAGTCAACACAGTCATTTACCCCACTGTCCGCGGACTCTTCAACAACTTACAAAGCCCTCTTTCACCCATCGACACCAGTTCCCCATCTCTCGATCCATGTCAACCACCTTCCAAACTACTCTTCGTGGATGGGTTCATTACCAGATGATCTACCTCTATCAGCTATAAGCATCCCGGGATCGCACAATGCACATACGCACTATCGCGCCCTCCCATCTGTTCGATGCCAGCTCCACGATGTAAAGGTACAGCTAGAAAATGGGATCAGGTTCTTGGACATACGTGTACAGCCAACACACACGACGGATGCATCAAAGAAAGACCTTTACCTAGTCCACGGCGCATTCCCTGTGAGCCTCACAGGACCGAAGTACCTTGAGCCTATCCTAAAGCTATGCTATGACTTCCTCTTAGCCAACCCCAGCGAGACGGTATTGGTGAGTTTGAAGCGAGAAGGTGTGGGAAGTGCGACGGACGAGCATCTTGCCCGCATCCTAGAGGAGCACTACATCACCCCCAATGCGCGCCATTGGTACACGGAGAACGCGATACCGTACTTGGGAGCTGTAAGGAGTAAGCTGGTTCTGGTGCGGCGGTACAATGTAGCCCGGACTGTGGCTTCGTCTTCGAGTTCAGATTGCAAGAATGGCGGACTAGACGCAACAGCCTGG